AAAGTGTTATTCATGCTGCCAACTTGTTTTTTCCTGTTGTTCTTACACAGTAGTGTGGTTCTAATGAACATTTGGTGTTGCTCTCTCATTACTGTAACTTACGAACAACTTCACTGGGTTGACATTACTTTGCTTGTTCTGGAACTGGACGTGCATGCATTGTCTATACAGTCAGGTCCATCATTATTTAATTTAATTTGTTTATTTAACCTTTATTTAACTAGGCATGTCAGTTAAGAACACATTCTTATTTATAATGACAGCCTACCCCGGCCAAACCCGGACGACGCTGGGCCAATTGTGCTCCCTTGATAAAGGTGAGCAAAAAAGACTCTATAAAATAAATAATACAAATATTGAGATATATTGTATGCTCCAAAAATTTTGAAATTATATATTATTTTATACTAATACAATTGCTCAGAGAAAGAGATTTTGTTTAACAAGTAATAAAAACAAATATAAAAAAGGTAGGGGCCAAAATTATTGGCACCCCTGCTGTCAATATACTTCAGCACCCTCCCCTTGCGAGGATAACGACTCTGAGCATTTTCTAAAATGTTTAATGAGATTGGAGAACATGTTGAGAGGGATCTTAGACTATTCCTCCATACAGAGTCTATCCAGATCCTTGTTATCCTTCGTTTGCTCTCATGGACTACCCTCTTCAATCCACAGGTTTTCAATTGGGTTCAAGTCCGTAGACTGAGATGGCCATTGCAAAATGTTGAATTTGTGGTCAATTACCCATTTCTTTGTGTATTTTGATTAGTACTTGGGGTTATTGTCTTGCTGAAAGATCCAATATGCTTCTGTTTTTCAATGCCAAAACCCACCAAAGACCAAATATTAATGTAATCTCACCATAGCACCAGTTCCAATCCAAATGCCAATGCCGTTTATTAAACTCTGGGTGGTGCTTTGGTCAGATGACATGAAAATAGAGGTCTTTGGTCACGCACACCAGTGGTGGGTTTGGCGTGTAAAAACAGAAGCATATGCAGAAAAGTACCTAATACCTCTGGTAAAATATGGTGGTGGATCTTTGATGTTGTGGCGCTATTTTGCTTCCACTGGTTTTGGGGCCCTTGTTAAGGTTAACGGCATCATGTTCTTTACGAAGTACCAGGACATTTTCACCAAATCCTGGTTGCCTCTGCCAGGAGTGGATCTTCCAGCAAGAAAATAACCCCAAGCACTAATAAAAATCCACAAAGAAATGGTTAATTGACTACAAAATCAACATCGGTCTCCAGACTTGAACCCAATTTAAAAGTTGTGGTTTGAATTGTAAGAGGGCAGTCCACATTGCAGACGAAGGATATCAAGGATCTGAAAAGACTCTGTATGAAGGAATGGTCTAAGATCCCTCCCAACATCATCTCTACTCTCAAAAAACATTTTAGAAAAAGGCTCAGTGTTGTTGTCCTCGCAAGGGGAAAAAAGGGTTCGATAAGTGTTCTTCAGCTGTCCCCATAGGAGAACCCTTTATGGTTCCATGTAGAACCTTCTGTGGAAAGGTTCTACATAGGATATTCCCCAATGCTGGAAGGGGGGCCCCGAGTGAAAGAGTTTGGGAACCCCTGTTTTAGAACACACACTCTTAGAAAAAAGGGTGCCTTTGGAAAGTATTCAGACCCCTTTACTTTTTCCACATTTTGTTACGTTACATTTACATTTAAGTCATTTAGCAGACGTTCTCATCCAGAGCGATTTACAAATTGGTGCATTCAACTTATTGGTGTTACAGCCTTATTCTAAAATTGATTAAAATATTATTTTTTTCTCAGCAGTCTACACACAATACCCCATAATGACAAAGCGAAAACAGGTTTTTAAAAATGTTTGCACCTTACTTACGTAAGTATTCAGACCCTTTGCTATGAGACTCGAAATTGAGCTCGGGTGCATCCTGTTTCAATTGATCATCCTTGAGATGTTTCTACAACTTGATTGGAGTCTACCTGTGGTAAATTAAATTGATTGGACATGATATGGAAAGGTACACACCTGCCTATATTCAGTGCCTTGCAAAAGTATTTATCCCCCTTGGCATTTTTCCTATTTTGTTGCATTACAACCTGTAATTTAAATTGATTTTTATTTGGATTTCATGTAATAGACATACACAAAATAGTCCAAATTGGTGAAGTGGAATGAAAAAAACAACTTGTTTCAAAAAATTCAAAAAAATAAGTAACAGAAAAGTGGTGCGTGCATATGTATTCACACCCTTTGCTATGAAGCCCCTAAATAAGATCTGCTGCAACCAATTACCTTCAGAAGTCACATAATTAGTTAAATAAAGTCCACCTGTGTGCAATCTAAGTGTCACATGATCTGTCACATGATCTCAGTATATATATACCTGTTCTGAAAGGCCCCAGAGTCTGCAACACCACTAAGTGAGGGGCACCACCAAGCAAGTGGCACCATGAAGATCAAGGAGCTCTCCAAACAGGTCAGGGACAAAGTTGTGGAGAAGTACAGATCAGAGTTGGGTTACAAAGAGACCAACGATAACCCTGAAGGAGCTGCAAAGCTCCACAGCGAAGATTGGAGTATCTGTCCATAGGACCACTTTAAGACATACACTCCACAGAGCTGGGCTTTACGGAAGAGTGGCCAGAAAAAAGCCATTGCTTAAAGAAAAAAATAAGCAAACACGTTTGGTGTTCGCCAAAAGGCATGTGGGAGACTCCCCAAACATATGGAAGAAGGTACTCTGGTCAGATGAGACTAAAATTGAGCTTTTTGGCCATCAAGGAAAACGCTATGTCTGGCGTAAACCCAACACCTCTCATCACCCCGAGAACACCAACCCCACAGTGAAGCATGGTGGTGGCAGCATCATGCTGTGGGGATGTTTTTCATCGGCAGGGACTGGGAAACTGGTCAGAATTGAAGGAATGATGGATGGCGCTAAATACAGGAAAATTCTTGAGGGAAACCTGTTTCAGTCTTCCAGAGATTTGAGACTGGAACGGAGGTTCACCTTCCAGCAGGACAATGACCCTAAGCATACTGCTAAAGCAACACTCGAGTGGTTTAAGGGGAAACATTTAAATGTCTTGGAATGGCCGAGTCAAAGCCCAGACCTCAATCCAATTGAGAATCTGTGGTATGACTTAAAGATTGCTGTACACCAGCGGAACCCATCCAACTTGAAGGAGCTGGAGCAGTTTTGCCTTGAAGAATGGGCAAAAATCCCAGTGGCTAGATGTGCCAAGCTTATAGAGACATACCCCAAGAGACTTGCAGCTATAATTGCTCTACAAAGTATTAACTATGGGGGGGGTGAATAGTTATGCACACTCAAGTTTTCTGTTTTTTTTTGTATTATTTCTAATTTTGCATCGTCAAAGTAATAGGCATGTTGTGTAAATCAAATGATACAAACCCCCAAAAAATCCATTTTAATTCCAGGTTGTAAGGCAACAAAATAGGAAATATGCCAAGGGGGGTGAATTATTTCGCAAGCCCCTGTAAGGTGCCACAGTTGACAGTGCATGTCAGAGCAAAAACCAACCCATGAGGTCGAAGGAATTGTCCGTAGAGCTCCGAGACAGGATTTTGTCGAGGCACAGATATGGGGAAGGGTACCAAACAATTTCTGCAGCATTGAAGGTCCCCAAGAACACAGTGGACTCAATCATTCTTAAATGGAAATAGTTTGGAACCACCAAGACTCTTCCTGAGCATTCGGGGGAGAAGGGCCTTGGTCAGGGAGGTGACCTAGAACTCGATGGTCACTCTGACAGAGCTCTAGAGTTCCTCTGTAGAGATGGGAGAACTTTCCAGAAGGACAACCATCTCTGCAGCACTCCACAAATCAGGTCTTTATGGTAGAGTGGCCAGATGGAAGCCACTTCTCAGTAAAAGGCACATGAAAGCCCGGTTGGAGTTTGCCAAAGGGCACCTAAAGACTCTCAGACCATGAGAAACAAGATTCTCTGGTCTGATGAAACCAAGATTGAACTCTTTGGCCTGAAGCGTCACGTCTGGAGGAAACATGACCCAATCCCTACGGTGAAGCATGGTGGTGGCAGCATCATGCTGTGGGGATGTGGGAGACTAGTCAGGATCGAGGCAAAGATGAACGGAGCAAAGTACAGAGCGATCCTTGAAGAAAATCTGCTCAAGAGCGCTCAGGACCTCAGACCGAGCAAAGATTCACCTTCCAACAGGACAACGACCCTAAGCACACAGCCAAGACAATGCAGGAGTGGCTTCGGGAGAAGTGTCTGAATGTCCTTGAGTGGCCCAGCCAGAGCCCGGACTTGAACCTGATCGAACATCTCTGGAGAGACCTGAAAATAGCTGTGCAGCAATGCTCCCCATCCAACCTGACAGAGCTTGAGAGGATCTGCAGAGAAGAATGTGAGAAACTCCCCAAATACAGGTGTGCCAAGCTTGTAGCGTCATACCCAAGAAGACTCAATGCTGTAATCGCTGCCAAAGATGCTTCAACAAAGTACTGAGTAAAGGGTCTGAATACCTATGTAAATGAGATATTTCTGTTTTTTATTTTTTAATAAATTAGCAACAATTTCTTAAAACCTGTTTTTGCTTTGTCATTATGGGGTATTGTGTGTAGATTGATGAGGGAAAAAGCAATGTAATAAATGTTAGAACAAGGCTGTAATGTAACAAAATGTGGAAAAAGCTAAGGGGTCTGAATACTTTCAGAAGGCTCTGTAGAACCTATAAGGGTTATTCGGCTGTCCCCATAGGAGAACCCTTTTTGGTTCCAGGTAAAATCATTTGGGTTCCAGGTAGAACCCTTTTAGGTTCCATGTAGAACCCTTTCCAAAGAGGGTTCTACATGGAATCCAAACGGGTTCTACATGAAACCAAAAAGGGTTCTACATGGAACCAAAAAGGGTTCTCCTATGGGGACTGCTGAATAATATTTTGGAACACTCATTCTAAGAGTGCATCGACTCAGTCATATTGTTGTTGCATTGTGCTTTGCTGTGGAGGTCATTCAGAGGTGGAGATCATGCGGAGGTGTTGGTCATTATTACCTGCAGAGTAGAGGCTGCTGAGTCGCTGGTCTCTGTCAGGCCCGTGCTCCTTGGTATACTGGACACGATGTATCTGGAGCCCGCCTTTGGCACAGGCTGTCTGACCACCAGCTTTCCTTTCCTGGTCTCTGCTAGAAATAGACTGTACCAGTAGGCATCGTTGGAGACCAGGGTGGAATCTGCGAGGGTCGAGTTCACGCTGTTCCTACTGGGAGGAGCCGCTTTGCTGGGCTTCGGTTTCTGACACTTCAGCATACAGGTGACCAATACGGTAATCAATAACAGAAAGGACACCGAGCCCAAGCCGATCACCAAATACAGGTTTAAGTCTGAAAATATGTCATATTCTAGAGGCACTTCAGTCATGTCAGAGTAGGCTTTAACGGCAGTCTCCACTGTTGAGAGATTGACGGTAACTGTAGCAGAGAGAGCAGGTTCCCCGTTGTCCTTGGCGATGACAACCAGCCGTTGATGACGCAGATCTCTGTAACTGAACATTCTCATAGTCCGGATATCTCCGTTGTATTGGTCCAGACTGAATAAGGTGGCGTCAGTAACCTGTAGAAACTGGTATGTAATCCGAGAGTTCTGGACCGAGTCTGTATCTATGGCTATCACCTTGGAGACCAGTGATCCTTTGTCAGTGGATCTGGGGATCTTTTCCTCCACCACGGAGCCGTGCGCGCGCCACGGAGAGACTATGACTGGTGTGTTGTCGTTCTGGTCCACAATAATGAGGTGGACAGTCATGTTACTGCTGAGCGGAGGAACACCAGAATCTCTGGCCTCAATGTGGAAAAGGAACTCCTTCTCTATCTCATAGTCAAACGTCTTTAGTGCGTAAAGATTACCGTTCTCCGGATTGATGGAGAACAGCATAGACATGGAGGTGTTCACTATCTCCTTTTCTATGATGAAATAAACTAGATACTGGTTTTCATGGAGGTCTGGATCAAACGCAGTGAGGGAACTTAGCAAGGCCCCAGGCGCGTTATTCTCCATAACAGGAATAGTGTAGAATGACTGGGGGAAGAGTGGCACGTTATCATTGACGTCCAACAGATGTAAAGTTATCGTTTCATTATCAGACAAGGAGGGCGTTCCTCCGTCCGTCACAACGAGCGTGATATCATATTCTGGAACTTTCTCACGGTCTAATGGTTCTGAGACTATGAGCTCATAATGGAAGTCAGACGACTTGTTCAAAACAAATGGCACCTGTTGGTTTATAGATAGGCTCACTTTGCCATTGTCACCTGTGTCCCTGTCGCTTATACCTACGATTGCTATGACTGTCCCAACCAGAATGTTCTCATTAACTGTTCTCTTATAAGATTTAACGGTGATCTCTGGATAGTTGTCGTTCGTATCTGTAACGTCAACTACAATTTTACATTGACTCAATAGGGGATGCTGTCCTTTGTCCTTCGCCTCAACATGCATCTCGTAAAACTTAATATCTTCATAATCAATAGTTCCTTTCACTGTTATCTCTCCTGTGTTTGGATTCAGTGCAAATACATATTGTGTTCTTTCTGACGTGTAAAGTGTGAATGAATACGTGATGTCTGCATTTGGACCTTCATCTAAATCTGTGGCGTTTAGCTTCATTACTAGCGTTCCAATCGGTGTGTTTTCTGTCATATTAACGGAATAAACTGAACGGTCGAATCGAGGGGCGTTGTCGTTTGTATCCAGCACTCTAACAATGATATTAGCTGTACCAGAACGGGATGGGACCCCGCCATCTACAGCCGTGAGTATTAGGTTATGAACGGCGTGCTCCTCCCGGTCTAAAGCCTTTGTCAAGACCAAGTCAACATATTTAGTACCATCACTCCCAGTCTGGATTTCGATGGTAAAATGCTCGCTAGCACTGAGCTGGTAGGTTTTTACTGTATTTATACCAACATCCGGGTCCACTGCATTAGGAAGGGAGAATCTCTCTCCTGGTGAAGCTGATTCTGAAACATCAAGCTCTATTCTGTCCCTACGAAAATGAGGCGCATTATCATTAATATCTGTTATTCCCAATTCTATGTTAAATATGCGTAAAGGACTTTCAATGATGACGTCCAATTTTAAAAAACAGTCGGTAGTCTTAGTGGTACAAAGATACTCCCTGTCTATTTTCTCTACAATATACAGCTCACCTGTCTTTTTGTTGACGTCCAAGTACTTCTTGCTATGGAAAATATCAAGTTTAACCTCGCGATGAGCCAGACCTGCAAGTTCCAGTCCCAAATCTGCGGCTAAATTGGAAACTACAGAACCTCTCTCCATCTCTTCGGGTATGGAGTACCGGGTCACGGACAACGCGCTTCCCCATAACGCATAGAACACAAAGACAGCCGAGAAAAACCTTCTCTCCCGATGCATCCTGGACCGTGAACTCCAGCCAGAAATAGCTAGACTCCTTATATTCGGATGTTACTAAGGATTGTATAAAATCCTATATAGTAGCCTGGTGTTCAGACCAGTATTGTTGTTATAAATTAAATAGCCATGTTTGTTTCAGTTTAAACAGGTCTGTCCTACAGCAGAGATGGATTAGAATGTCATGGCTCCCGCTGAACAGAGCTGAGACATTTACTGGTGAACAGCGACACCATGTGGCTAACGCAGGAGGGAAGTCAGGGAGAGAGGCCACTGGTTGATGTGATGCTGCAGAACTGGCTACTTTTACAAGACAGTACTGATAGAAATATAAAAAATAGTCAATATTATGCTATATTACTAAGTAGGCTGTTAACTTGTACTATTGTACTAGGCCTATCTATTCTTTTCATGGTTGGTGTGATAATCCGTGAATAAATCAAAAACAGTGAAATCAAAACCCCACTTCTAGAGTCCTAGTCAGAATCTAAAATGTATTTAGCACCTATCCCACTATCGCTATTTTATCTGCCTTGATTCTAAATGTGTGTTGTTTTTATTGTATATCATGTTATATTTGTTTCATCAGTACAGCTTTGAGATAACTCTGTAATGAAAAGCGCAATAAATAAATGTATTATTATTATTATATCTAGCGCCAAATCCATGTGATTGAAATTATCTGACCTCCATTCACTGATTATCACATCACCCGCGACAAAAATATGAACTAAATACTTTTTTGCTGTCTAGAATCCTATAATGTGACGCAACAATAGACCATTGGCTAGAATTGCAGCACCACGCCAGTGGACAGCTCCCAGAGAACACCCCAAAATCACTAGCTAGGTTTCCATCCAATTTGCGACAGATTTTCATGCGAATATTCTAAAATCTGCCTAAAACAATATGCGCATTTTCCCACCAGAGATGTGTTTCCATCAAACTGACTTATTGCAGATAAAAGACCGTGCGTGATGACATTGTGCACATACATACATTTATTTTATTATTATTATTTATTATACAACATTTTTGCGGTTAAATTTACATGTAATGAAAGAAAAAGTCTACTGATAGTTTTGTCACAAAAACTGTTGCGTTATATAGCAACCGTGCCCACTCTGGTCTTGGCACGTGCGCTTTAGTCGACAGCTTGCAGATAAAGTGTGGGTAGGCTTTTTTTTTTGTCAAACGGCAGCCAAGCATCGATCACCTTGTCACAAGAATAAGATATTTATTGGCAAGGATTATCAAGCTCATCACGTGCACTTTCACCACTCTGTGAAGTTCATCATAATTTATAAACTGCATGGTTTCCCGAGTCGTAGTGGGAGGACCACACAACATATCATCGCGTGACTCCAAGTTTATTTCGATATGATGTTTATTATATCAATATTTGCTCATGAAGGTCTTTCCACCGCCCTTTCATGCATAATTAATTTTACCGACACAAAAAGATCCCACAATGTCGAACGAACATAGCCGTGGAAGTAGTTTTGGGGTGGGGGTGCTGCGATTCTTTTGCGGATGGGGGAGATACAGAAAAAAAAAATGCTGGAGCTGAAGACCTCTATATCGGTCCGCTAATACAGGACTAGTAAAGGCTCAGTGCACTACTTTTGTGAAAACATTTAAAGTAAATGTATTTCAGTGTTTACCAGCATTTGTAATTTGAGTCTGATAATTATATGTACAAAACAGTTAATCTGATAATACTTGATATACAGTGCATTCGGAAAGTATACAGACCCGTTGACTTTTTCCACATTTTGTAACGTTATTGCCTTATGCTAAAATTGATTAAATTGTTTTTTTAATGACGAAGCATAAACAGGTTTGTAGAAATTTTAACAAATGTATAAAAATAAAAAACTGAAATATGACATTTACATAAGTATTCAAACCCTTTACTCAGTACTTTGTTGAAGCACCTTTGTCAGCAATTACAGCTTCTTGGGTATGACACTACAAGCTTGGAACACCTGTATTTAGGGAGTTTCTCCCATACTTCTCTGCAGATCCTCTCAAGCTCTGTCAGGATGGATGGGGAGCGTTGCTGAAGAGCTATTTTCAGGTCTCTCCAGAGCTGTTCGATCAGGTTCAAGCCCAGGCTCTGGCTGGGCCACTCAAGGACATTCAGACACTTCTCCCGAAGCCACTCCTGCGTTGTCTTGGCTGTGTGCTTAGGGTCGTTGTCCTGTTGGAAGGTGAACCTTTGCCCCAGTCTGAGGTCCTGAGCGCTCTGGAGCAGGTTTTCATCAAGGATCTCTCTGTAATTTGCTCCGTTCATCTTTGCCTCGATCCTGACTAGTCTCCCAGTCCCTGCCGCTGAAAAATATCCCCAGAGCATGATGCTGCCACCACCATGCTTCACCGTAGGGATGGTGCCAGGTTTCCTCCAGACGTTACGCTTGATATTCAGGCCAAAGAGTTCAATCTTTGTTTCATCATACCAGAGAATCTTGTTTCTCATGGTCTGAGAGTCTTTAGGTGCCTTTTGGAAAACTCCAAGCGGGCTGTCATGTGCCTTTTACTTAGGAGTGGCTTCCGTCTGGCCACTACCACAAAAGCCTGATTGGTGGAGGGCTGCAGAGATAGTTGTCCTTCTGGAAGGTTCTCCCATCTCCACAGAGGAACTCTAGAGCTCTGTCAGAGTGACCATCGGGTTCTTGGTCACATCCTTGACCAAGGCCCTTCTCCACCAATTGCTCAGTTTGGCCGGGCGGCCAGCTCTAGGAAGAGTCTTGGTGGTTCCAAACTTCTTCCATTTAAGAATGATGGAGGCCACTGTGTTCTTGGGGACCTTCTATGCTGCAGACATTTTTTGGTACCCTACCCCAGATCTGTGCCTCGAAACAATCCTGTCTCGATGC